TTAACTGAGCTCACGTTAACTGAGCAAACGTTAACTGAGCAAACGTTGACTGAGCTAACGTTGACTGAGCTAACATTAAAAAAGCGATAACTGAGCTAACGTTAACTGAGCTAACGTTCTGTGGTCGTGTGAATGGTACATCTCTAGTATTATTATCATTATTAGTAATATTAGTGGTAGTAGTGGGAGGAAGCTGGTTTAAAGTTGATACATCAGATTGATATCAGCTTAATTCTAGAGGAAGTGTCCATTATGGGAATATTTATACACGTGTTTTCCTGCAGTTATTAAAGAAGTTTCTTTACATTTAACAGGTGTTTTTTTGCTTTTGACCTCTTTGAATCACAGGAGTTTGTGGACGTGTATGCCGACTACATCCTGAACACGAGCGTGGAGAGTCAGTTCAAAGCCTTTAAGAAAGGTTTCCTGATGGTCACCAAAGAGTCTCCTCTGAAGTATTTGTTCAGACCGGAGGAAGTAGAGATGCTGATCTGTGGCAGCAGGGTGAGGAAACACAGCTTCATTTAAACGTTTCTTTATTGTAGATGTGTGATTTAGGATTAACGGAGGAATCTCTTTCACAGAAACTTGACTTTGAAGCTCTTGAAAAAACGACAGAATACGATGGAGGTTACAGCAAAGATAGTCAGATCATCAGGTGAGTCTCTTTTGTCCTCTCACACACTGCATGTTACTGAGCGATAACTGAGCTAACGTTGATTGAGCTAACGTTCTGTGGTCGTGTGAATGGTACATCTTTAGTATTATTATTAGTATTCGTAGTAGTAGGACGACACACTGATTTAATTTAACATTGTTTTTTTATTTTTTTATTTCCTGCTTACAGAGATTTCTGGGAAACGATTCACTCGTTTGGAGAAGAGCAGAAGAGGTTGTTTCTTCAGTTCACCACCGGCACAGACAGAGCGCCCGTCGGAGGGCTCGGCAAACTAAAAATGATCATCGCCAAGAACGGCTCCGACACAGACAGGTACTTCAGACAGATTATCAGATAAAGAACTCGTTCTACAACCAGCGACAGACGAGGACGCAGAGATTATAAGGTCCGATCTGTTCTTTGTGAAGGAGAATTCTCAGGAACACCTGGAGAGAATTTCTTTACTTTTGCAACAAACGTCCAGCTGAGCCAGGAAGCAACCTCCGGTTCTTTAATGTGAAGTCAAAGCTTCATGTGTTAAAGCTGCATTCTCTCTAGTGTC